TACGGTACAGCAGAGATAGATAGATAGATAGATAGATAGATAGATAGATAGATAGAATCAATTTTATTTCAGTCATAGACCAGCATATGAGAACTTTAGCTATAAGTTGCCAGTTGTCTCCCCTTTGCACACACATAACACATACAGGAGGAGAATCGCAATGGGGCAGCAGACATGGTCAGGGCAGGAAATATGGCACCTTGCCCAAATGTCCCACTCCTGAACAAGGTTGGATCCCAGGTATCTGTGTCAGTGTCTACCTAGAGTAGCGTTTCTCAACCTTGGGATGCGTGGACTTCAACTCCCAGAATTCCCCAGGCAGCTATGCATCTTCAAATTCCCAAGGTTGAGAAACATTGGCCTAGAGCGTTCACCTTTCAGAGCCCATCATCGGTGAACAGCCTCACCAAAATTAGCCTCAGCATCTTTGCCCTGGAGCCCACACCAGTCACCCTCTGGGGGAGATGGGCAGGATATAAGTTTAATAATCAATCAATCAATCCCAGGGGCCAAAGAAAGGTTCCTGTTTGCTTCTGCCATTAGCAAACCCAAAGGATTCCTTGTTGCTTTGACAGTTCTTGTTCCTTTTTGCTGCTGAGTAACCTGCCTCTTCCACCCCACCCCATCCGTCCTTGGTTCCTCCTGCCAGGTTCGGCCGGCTCTGCTGTGAAATCCGACTCCCCTTCGGCCCCCAGCATCACAGCCCCTCTCAGTGACACTGTGTCAGCAGCCTCCTTGCTGACCACAGCCACCCAGCATTCCTCGGTGCTCAGCAGCCTGAATCACGCCGAGGAGCTCTCGAACACAGCTGCCACGCAACACAGCAGGTACCAGCCCGACTGGGCACGCTGCCAGGAAGCCCCCCCCATGCCTGTTCACCCGTTGAGCCCTCTCTGACCTTAGTTTATCAGCCACGTGGCTTCTGCACCAGAAACCCTCCGGCTCCCTTCTTGTAGCCCAAGATGGAGGCAAAAGCTACGAAGCCTGCTTGGAAAGGGTCAAGATTTAGAGGAGGGGTTGATCCGTACTGCGCACCTTTTTATAATGTGAAGAAAAACGTTCTGGAATGGCAGCTGTGTGCTTGGATCAAACTGCAGCTAGTCAGCCTCCATTCTCGATCACTTTCAAGTCCTTGTTGTGAGGTCAATCCATGCCTGGCCTATGCACATTCCTTCAAACCCATGGCTTTATTTCAGAAAACACACATTCCAAATGGCAGTGTAACCCTTTGAATGCAGCACAGCAGCAGCAAGAAAGAAAAGGAATGTCTTAACCTGATTTCACTAGAGAAGCAGTGCCAGAAAAGCCCTAGTTTACTTACGATTATGAGCCAGGGGGAAAAAAGAATTCCTAAATGTTGGTTGACCAGCATTGCTCTTTCTTTCCACAGTACATTACCCACCCAACAGAACAGCCTCTCTTCCTCAACTTCCTCTGGTCGCACGTCCACTTCGACTCTCTTGGTGAGTGGGAATCCGGAAGAGGGACAAGGAAGAAATATCCAAGGCCACAGTGGGAAGCTTGCCAGTGAGAAATGCCGAGCAGGATTCACGTGGCCTGCTGCAGTCAATCTTGTTTCAGTGCCCTTTTACAGGGACTTCTGTAGCATCCATGTTTCTTTATGAGCAAAAGCCTAAATCTGCAGACAGAGAAATCCCAAGGTTTAATGATCAGAAGCGTCCATTGGAAATGGAAAGCTTATGAGTCCAGAATATTTCTGTTTTTCCCTGGAGCAGATGGGACGGGAAGTCACAGCCATTCCTCCCAGAAGCCCACGCTCAATTACCTCCCAGCGTCCTTAACTTGAGCAGGACGATTGCATTGCTCCCATAGTTTAGAATTGGGAGTGGGAAATTCTCGCTAATCTAGGTGCTGCTAAGGAATCTTGTTTTCCCCTATGCCCTTCTCTTGGGCTTGGAGGAAATGTTATACGACTGCAAAACCACATGTAGAAAATCTGCAGTTCTCTCTTAGCTTTGAGCCGTCTTCTGCTCTGTCGTGTTAAGGCTCCTCAAAGGCACCTCCGGTCTCAGTTCCTGCTTAGCTCAGCCTTTAGCCAGTCAGGAGCAGCAGTGCACAAAATCAAAACCCAGAGCTACAGCCGGGCAGATACCCAGAATCAAAGCAAAGGCTGATGGAGCCCCTGCACTCCCATCTGGACGTTTCTATGGTGGTCCTGGTGTCCTCCAAGGTCCGGTCCACCAGCATCCTGACCTCCTTCTGCTGCTTTCTCTCCCCATCCTCCCCCTCCCCTATTTCTGTAGCACACCAGCATGGAGAGCGAAGCCGGGCTCCATTCTTCCGCAAGCACTTTTTCCACCGCCTCCAGTACTGTGTCAGCTGCACCCCCCGTGGTCAGCGCCTCGTCAAGTCTGAGCAGCGTCAGCAGTCTGGGCCTGAGCCTCAGTAATAACTCCACCGTGACGGCCACAACCCGCAACTCAGTAGCCACGACGTCAGGTGCCTCCTCAAGGCCCAGGGTTTGGTTGGTGGCTGAAGTGCCCAATGGGGACCTTGGGGTGGGGAGAGGCTTTCAAGATCAATGTGAGCCCTTCGAAGCAGTCTGGGTCAAGAAACAGCCCCTGTAAGGAATGCCACTTTACTGATGTACGGTATCGTAACAGAAACTGGAATGTTTCTCTCTACTCCGTCCTATACCAAACAGAATCAAGGCGAGGCTGTCTTGAGTCTCTTTCCCACCCTTTCCGCTTTCCCAGGATCGAATTACTCTTTCTCCTCTCTGAACGGCCCATCCATTCCTTCCCTAACATCGTCCCCGCATTCCTTTACATGGCTCACTTTGCCTTGAGCAGAAAGGCCGTGATCTGGAACAACCAAGCTAAGCGGGACCAAACTGAACTTCCCATACAGAATGGCTCCTGTTCCCAAATTAGCCTGCTGCCTTTATGCGAAAAGTCACCCTCAAGCGGGCAGACCTAAGTTTCGGAAGCAGAAGCAAGCCGTGGTTTAGCGCCCCGTGCTTGAAAACCTAAATCTGGCTGCTACTCCTGGGAGCTTCTGTGTGGAGGCCAAATCAGTTGGAAATCAGAGGAAAGAATCAGGACTTACATTGACCCCACCTGCGGGCTTCTTTGTGTGTGAATAAGTTATGATTAGTTGTAATTCTCCTTCCTGGTACTGCAAAGATCAGTGTTTCTCAACCTTGGCAACTTTAAGACGTGTGGACTTCAACTTCCCATGCTGGCTGGGGAATTCTGGGAGTTGAAGTCCACACGTCTCAACTTTGCCAAGGTTGAGAAACACTGGCATAGATGGTTGTGCAAGGCTTGAGGGGCGGTCGATGGGCAGTGTCTCCTCTAACACTTCTCTCCTTCTAGGAAAGGCTCCCCCCAACCTGCCTCCCGGCGTGCCACCATTGCTGCCGAACCCGTACATTATGGCGCCAGGGCTGTTGCACGCCTACCCGGTGAGTCGGGCACACCGGGCCATCCCCCAGACCAGTGTACCCACGCTAGTAGATCCTGCTCGACTCAACCTGTGGCGGTGCAGGAGGGACAGCACGTGGGAGAACAACCCCGAGCAGCACCGGATGCGGTTGAGGCAGCCCCTCAAGCCTGCCCGACCCTGCAACATCTGACTCGGACAGGAGCTTGGCAAAAAGAGAAAACCTAGTTTGCTCCTCACCCAAGCTCTAAATAAGATCATCTGGTTGCTGTCTAAATGGGGCAGCAGTAATAGCAGCTGTTCTCCCTGGCATTTCAGGCAGGAGTTCCATGTCAAGTGTGAAAAGTTCCCCCTAAATAACTTCCATTTTTCCACTTGATAAATCTGAGGAAGTTCTCACACAACTCTAGGGTTCCAGGAATGCTGTTTGAAAAACCGTAGCCTAGTCCAGTGTTACTCAACCTCCACAACTTTAAGATGCGTGGACTTCAACCCCCAGAATTCCCTGGGGGAAGAGGAAGTTCTCCTGTGGTTTCCTGGTGTAATTACAGAATCACCCTGCTTAACTGTAAATGAAATAACACCGAGGCCGTTATTTTATTTACAGTTAAGCAGTGTTATCCTGCAATTAAATAAAATAACATTCCGCGTGCATCGGGGAGTGTCTGCTTCCCTAAAATTTGGCACGTATGCATAGCCCTCATTATAAGGAAGAGGCTTTGATGGCTAGTGGTAAGAGGAAGATGTGTAATTAATTTTTTTTCCCGCTCCTGCATTTTCCTGTGGAATTTACATATTTTGAAAAAGGCTTTCCTTGATCACGTTTACGATTTACAGCATCAATCCAGCAGGACACGTTTGTAATTTATTTTTAGGGCAGGAATTTCTAAAAGCATATGGACAAATATATAAATACGCCTGTGTAAATTCAAGCCAGCCATAGCCCTCAGCCTACCTCTTTGAATCCCACTCACTTTAGGGCATCATAAAACTGTTCTCATCTGAAATGTTTTGGACAATTCATAATTTCTCTCACTCTCGAAAGGCTCGACTTCTTTGTAACTCGCTTGGTTTCTCTTGCAGCCGCAAGTTTACGGCTATGATGACTTACAGATGCTTCAGACAAGGTTCCCATTGGTGAGTTAAACCCAGTCTTCCTCTTTAATACTATTAAAAAAAACCTAGACATTGTGTAACACTACCTAGCATTTTTTCCCCAGTTACTGTCAGTATTAGTCTGCAATTTAGGATGTCAGTATGATGAACATAAGATTGCTTAACTTTTCACCCAAAGTGAAGTATAACATAAAAAAAGAATTGCCACAATTCACATCAAAGTATTAGTTACATTAGTTACATAGTTACGTTACTACTTAATATTAAGATATCTGTTGTATTACTTTGTGTGTGTGTGTGTGTGTGTGTGTCGATAAAAGGAAATAAAAGGTAGACAAAGCAAATTAAACAAAACTTAAAATGCTTAAAAATGGAGGGGAAGGAAAAA